TATATTATCAAAAAAATTAATATATATTATTTATTTCAATAACAGTTTTTCGATGGTTTTAAGCTGTTAATATATTTTTAAAAATAGTTGTGACAACTTCTGACTGACAAAAATATTAAAAAATAATTATTATTAGTAAAAAATCACCAATAAATACTATAAGCACTACACATATCAGATAGAAAAACAAAATAAAATAAATAAAAAAAAGTGTGAAAGCGTACCTTTTTATTTCTCACACAACACAATTCTTTTATATCAAATAATTCACTAATTTTATTTCTTATCCAAATTTTTTCTCCCACTACTCAATTTCTTTACTATTTGTTCTGTGAAATCGACCACTGAGTTTCCTTGTAGAAGCGACGTTAAATTCTTTCATCGTTGTGAAAAATTTTGTCACCTAGCTATATTGCTCTCGTGTAACCCTTTAAGATAAGAACTTTAAGAAATTTCATGATAGCACTTTAACAATAAAAAGTGCTTTAGCTTTTAAGAACTTTAAGATAAGAACTTTTAAAAGAAAAAAAATGCTCACAACGTCACCACCAGATCAGTGGAGGTTCCAGAGATTTGTCAAATGGGTATTTATCCTGGTTGGTGTTGTCTGATGAAATTTTTACGTAAATAATATTTTTAAAAGAAAAATTACAAAAATGATACCTGTGTAAGTTTATTTATAGGAATAGAACGATTTATTATTCATGCTCAGAATTCAGTTCTCCGGGAACCAAATTTTGAGCTTCAAAATATATTTTTTTTCTTCTCAGAATTCGGTTCCTGGGGAACCGAATTCTGAGTTATTTTAAATTTTTTTTTCGTGTTTGTGACCCATTTTGGGCAAATGTTAGAAGTGGAACAGCCCGTTCCGGAAGCAGAACGGGACGTTCTGCTTAAAGGCACAGAGTTTTTTTTTTAAATTAAAACGGGTCATTCTTAGCCCGTTTTAATTTAAAAAAAAAACTCTGTTTCTTTAAGCAGAACGGCCCGTTTTGCTTCCGGAACGGGCCATTCCACTTCCAACATTTGCCCAAAATGGGCCACAAACACGAAAAAAAATTAAAATAACTCAGAATTCGGTTCCCCGGGAACCGAATTCTCAGAAGAAAAAAAAATTGAAGCCGAGCATGAACAATAAACCGTTCTATTCCTGAATATAAACTTGCACAGGTATTATTTTTGTAATTTTTCTTTTAAAAAATATTATTTCGTAAAATTTCGTTGTCTGATAGGAGGAAAGAAATAAAAATATAAAAAAATAATTAGGGCGAAAGTTAAAGTTATTTGACAAAAAGAAGTGAAAGGATGATAAATTTTTAATATTTTTATTCGTTAAATAAAAAAAATGAATTCATGTTATAAATTAAATTGCAAATATACCATTCTTATTAATTCACCCAATAATTTTGATAGGCGTTTATTTCGAAATATAATATTGTTTTCGAAAATTTTATTTGCAGAAATATTATTTTCATAAACGTGGTTGACATTGTTAATTAAAAAATTATTTAATTAAAATTAAAAATAAACGAAAATGCGGAATAATAAGTGAAAATAAGAGTTAGTTATTAAAAATAATAATTTTTAATATTATGAGAATATAAGATACCCATTGAGAATCATAAATATATTAAGCGTGAATGTTTTATATTCTTGAGAATAAAATTTGGGCCAAACTCCAAGCGTGTGGTTCAGCGATAGGGATTGATCCACATCCTGTCTTGTGTATGCTTAAATTTTGGGGCCAGCTATCCCACCCTTTGAGGTGCCTCCAAGTAGTGAAGAGATTAGTCACTGCTATCAGATACTCCAGGGACGAACAAAAAAGAAGATAAAATTTGTCCAAAAATATTTTTTTATAATCCTATAAAAAGCATGAGAATAAATGTTTCTATCTTCGCATTTTCAAGAATAAAAAACCATTACTTGAAACAAAGACATCTTGAGCAACAAAAGCACATATTTGAGTTTTGTCTTCATAGTTAATTATTTTATTTTTTATATATTTATTAATTTTTATAATAATTATCTTAAAAATTATATTGATTGTGATTTTTGATTAGCTAAAATGAAAAGAAAAAATAATACATCGACAATGCATAATTATTGAATCTTATCTTTAATGTATCACAAAGAAGATAAGCGAAGAGTAATGATTAAAAAAATGATTTTGTATAAATTTATTGTACAAGTATCATTTCTTACAATCAAATTCTCAACTAAACATATTTATTTAATTTTGTATTGTGGTGATTTTTCGTTGACCGACCCAAATTGTATTGACAAAATTGAGTCAATATAAACACTTCACACCCTCGTGTTTGAGCTTGGAGGACTCTATGTTGTGTTGCTCCCCTACTAATCAACCCAAGGTGCATCTACAAAACTCCAATCCAATATAGACTATTGCACCCTTGTGCTTGAGCTTTGAGGGCTTTGTACCATGGTGGTCTCCTACTAACCATCCCAAGGCATAACAACAAAATTTCAAACCCACCAATTAAGATATCTCTTAGATGAACGACAAATGTTGTATATTGAGAAAGTCTAAAATTACGCATATGAAAACTTGGATGTGAGGTGATTCACTTGTCCACTCAGGCAATTAATAAGATCTCGTAAGCTGCAAGATGGACAAGATAGTGATCATAAACACCAAAATTTACGAATATTAAAGTGTGATTTATGGGATTATAATAAGAAAATTGTTTCATGTATGTGATGTCACACCACTATATATAGAGATGATTAGGTATAGGAAGACAGGTTACATATATCAAATGTTCTAAGCCAGGATTGATGTTATGTTCTTTTGGCACTATATTGCTAAGAGTTATTCAACGACAATTTCCAATACCGGAACATTTTGACGCGCCTTTCATGGAATTGATAAAATTGCATCTCACATGTTGGTTGCCTAACGTTAGAGGTTTTTTTGACACTATATCAGTAAGAGTTTTTCAATGTTGGTTCCTAGTACCGGAACATTTTGGTACCCATCATATAGTAAATAAAACTACATCACTCACCTTGGTTGCCTGACGTGAGCATACTACATTCATAAAATGTTTTACGTTAGGACTACTACTAGGTTCTTTTGACAATGTATCATTAAGGATTCTCCCATGACAATATTTGATATCAAAACAAATTTACATTCATTTATCTATTTACAAATTTATATTATCCATAAACCAACTATTTTAAAATTTTTAATCTATTATTTAATTTGTCAAAGTAATAATTTAATTTGGAGTTGTTGGATCTAGCACGTGAATGATGCACTTAACTGACTTTGATTTGAGAATCTGAAATTCGGCTAATTTGGAAGTTTAGGTGCACATCGGTTTTTCAACACCACGACTTTAACCTACACCATGTATATCTCAAGTCTCACGTCATTCCATACTCTTATTCTTTTTTTCTTTTTTCTTTTTTTTAATTTACCTCGAAGTATGATTGAATTTTCAAACGTGAGGACTTTAACTCACACCATGTATATCTCGTGTCTCTCACCTCACTCCACTCTGTCCACTTATTCTCGTTTTTTTTTTTTTTTTATCGAGGATGTTTGGTTTAAGAAAATAAATAAACGAAGTAAGATGATTTTATAAGTTATTTGAAATAAATAATAATAATGCTCTTCGTAAGAATATATATATATATATATATATATATCATAAATAATCTTAATAAAAAAGTATAGTAATTATTAAGATAAATTTTGACTGAAAATTGAATGAGACAATGTAATGACATGAAGTGTTAAAGTATGGTAATTGTCCTTCATTTCATTTTCACAATTGTCATTGGCCAAGTCAATGTACGTAATGTCACGAGGTGTTGCACCTATCACCTAAGACACACACAACTTCTTACATGCACAATGGTTGATTCCCAATGCATTGTCTTATTATATACTATTGACATAGTTGTGAGACAATTGACTTAAACACACCACGACTTGAATGTCATTTTCTTTATGGTGTGTTTGGATGAGGAATTTATATGGGGTAATTCATTTTTTTTGAAGAATTTCAAATTCTTTGAGGTGAAAATGTTTTGTTTGGATGAGGAATTTACAAAGAATTTGAAATCCAATCATTTGTGAAATTTCTTAAAATAGTAGAGTTTCAAATTCTCCCAAAAATGGGAGAATTTGAAATTCTTCATATTTGTTTTTCTTATTTCACATATATATTTTATCTTATCTCTTCATTTTTTTTAATTATTAGATATTCAATATTTATTTTTATAAAATTTAATTTAAAAATCTCAACATATAAATATATTTTTAAAATCAATTTTACTATGATGGAATAAAATTATCATATTCAATCTAACAATTTAAAATTTAAGAAATTTGAATTGACTAATCCAAACAAAATATTTTAAAAATAATAGAAATTGAAATCAAAGGAATTCAAATACCAAGAATTTAAAATTTCTTGAATTTGTAAAATTCCTCATCCAAACACACTATTAACTATATCATTACTTGAACCTTGCATGAAATTTTTTCAAAGGTGTAAGAGACAAAACAAACCTTCAAATACATATTAATGATAAATTTGTTTTTTTACTCTATTATGATAAACTGTGCCATATTTCTTGAATCCAATCCAGAAAAATGATTTAAATATATTTTTAATCCATCAAATTTATGATAATTTTTTTAAATTTTTTAAACTTAAAAATATTTTATGAGTCTTGTAATTTCAAAAAAGCAAAAAAAAAAATTGTTTACTACCAATAAAGACAATTTGAGTAACATAATTAAAAAAGACAAATTAAGTAAGTTGTGTACTATTAACTAAGTTCAATGTATTTTTTTCTCTCTTATAATAAAGACATAATTAATAAAGACAAATTGAGTAAGTTGTGTACTACTAACTAAGGTCACTGTATTTTTTTTCTTAATAAAGACATCAATAGATGAATTTTATATGACTAATGTAATAATATGTGAGTTTTATTTGATAAATTTATTGATGATATTTAAGTATAGAGTTTGAAATATTCATATTTTAAAATATAGAGAATAAACACAATTTAAATTTCAAAGTCTAAAAATATATTTAGATTTGAAAAAATTATAAATGACCTTTTAGTTTCACTATGCAAATTACATTGCTTATAAACAAAATGAATTCAATAATAAACATAGATAAATGTATTTCATGCTAATAAATGTACTATTTTTTAAATGTATTCATATTCATTGATGTATTCCATGCTAACAAATGTACTTTTTTTTTAAACATTTAGAATTACATTAATAAATAAAGGCCAAATTTAGGACGTTATGTATTCTATTTTAATTTTAAATATTAGGTCGATTATAATGGTTTATATATATAGTCAATTATCTTAATTTACTTAATTGTTTTCTTTTAATAATGCAAGCTAACATAACCTTGTCTTTATGATTGAAAATGTGGATATCTCCTTATATTAACACATATTTGTGGTTTCGTTGTCTTCCATGCTGATACAAGACACTTCTTTCCTACCTCTAAACTCTTTTAAAATATAGGTTACGGGTCTAATTCAATTCTATAAAATTAATTTATAAGATGAATATTGTTTTCCATTTATATAAATTAATTTGTCATATCATTAGTCGACATGGATTTTCTAACACCTCTCTAACATTAAGGAACAAACATCTCGAATGTGAAGTTAACCAATATTGAATATTTATGAGTAGTCTGATAATTATCCGATAATGTCTGATAAATCCAACAAGAAATTCGTTAGGATAGACTCTAATACTATCTAAAGAACCAAGTTCTGTGTATATTCGATCCCTTGAAAAGACCATCCACCATTTATACATGCATTAAGACAATAGTATCGGACATGAAAGAGTGCATTAGAAAAAACTGAAGTTCCATATTGATTAATGTTATGCCCAAATTAGTGTATATAAGTGGAAAACAGTTCTTACATTTCAACTTATAAGTCAAATAATACACATATCAAGTCCAATAATGTTGGGTGTGAGGGTGTATTGAGAAAAAAAAATCCCACCTATCTTTGATCATAAACATGGTCGCTCACTATTTATTTACATACCAAACCCAATGTTAAACATGATAATATATTAAAAAAAAAAACTTAAGTTTCACATCAATGAAAAAATAAAATAATTAAAGAGTATATAAATAGAGCGGGACAACTAAGGGTAGTTGATGAATCCAAGTTTGCGGAATGGTCCATTAGATCATGAACTTCGCGAATAAGAAACATTTTTTTCTCAAATATATATAACTATGCTTAATTTTTTAGTTTGGTATATGAATTTGCAAATTTTTTAGTCTTAATTCGCGAGCTTGCAATTTCTTATAGATATTACTAATTAATTTTTTACATATTAAAACTTAAATATTTGATTATTTATTTAACTTTTAAATTATTATGACATTAAAACTATATTTAGTTAATGAGTATTTGACATTTAAATTATTTATAAAGCATTTTGATATTTTTAATATTGAAAGTTTAATACTATTATAAAAGTATTGGTAATATATTTAATCTTAATATTTAAAATCATTTTAAATATTGATAAATTTTAGTATAATAAATTATAATTTAAAAATAATTTCTTTTGTTTTTAAAAAAGATATATTTTTTTCAAATTATTATTTAGGCTTACTAATCGATCCATTTATCGATGATTTTACAAATCAGACTGATGGGATGTATATAAAATACATATCAATTGTGTAGGATTAAGTAATCATCATACATTAACATATTCCTCAACATCTAAAATGAGAAAGAAAAGTGTGTGACATTAGTAACTGAAATTCAAACACACAATAAGTACACAAGTATTAGGGTGTCCGTAGTAGAAGCAGTGGACGACGATGTTCGTGCGCCCATTGACGGCCAAGCTGAAGCAGAAAAAGAGGAAGACACTCAGCCACGCTCCCCGCGTCACCGCTGCTTTCACGACGGCGAATGCTCCGTCACCGCGCATTCCCTTCCCCTCAGACATTTCCCAAGCCAACTCCCTCATCGCCTCGCACGTTCGCCGCGCCGACGCCGCCTCCGCCTGGACCCTCTTCCGCTCCCTCCGCCGCGCGCGTTCCGACCTCGACGCCTACACCTTCACTTCCGTCCTCCGCGCCTGTCCCCTCTTACGCGCTCCCAAACTCGGCTCACAACTCCACGCCCAAATGCTCAAAACCGGTTCCGATTCCGGAACCGTCGCAAAAACCTCGCTTGTTGACATGTATTCCAAAAACGGCTCTCTCGATGAAGCTGTGAAGGTGTTTGACGAAATGGGTCACCGAGACGTTGTCGCTTGGAACGCTCTGTTGTCGTGTTTCTTGCGGCGTGATCGTCCCGTTGAGGCTGTTGGGGTTCTCAGAGCGATGGGGAGGGAGCATGTGGAGCTCAGCGAGTTTACTTTGTGCTCAATGTTGAAGCTTTGCGCTTCTTTGAAGGCTTTGGAGCTTGGGCGGCAGGTTCATGGTTTGGTGGTGTGTATGGGGCGTGACTTGGTAGTTTTGAGCACTGCTCTTGTTGATTTCTACTCTAGTGTTGGCTGTGTTGATGATGCTTTGAAAGTGTTTTATGGTTTGAAAGGTTGGAAGGATGATATGATGCATAACTCGATGGTTTCTGGGTGTGTTAGGAATAGGAGGTATTTGGAGGCTTTTAGAGTTATGGCCTTGGTTAGGCCCAATGCAGTTGCACTCACCAGTGCCTTGGTTGGTTGCTCTGAGAATTTGGATTTGTGGTTAGGGAGGCAGATACATTGTGTTGCGGTTCGTTGGGGTTTTGATTTTGACACTCAGCTTTGCAATGTCTTGTTGGATATGTATGCGAAATGTGGGAAGGTTTCGCATGCTCGGACGTTGTTTGATGGGATTTGTGACAAGGATGTGATTTCCTGGAGTTGTATGATTGATGCATATGGAAGAAACGGGCAAGGGCGTGAAGCTGTTGAGCTGTTTGAGAAGATGAGGGAGGATGGAGGTAGGGTGTTGCCGAATTTGGTGACTTTTTTGTCGGTTTTATCGGCTTGCAATCACTCTGGATTGGTGGAGGAAGGGAGAAAATATTTTGAATTGTTGAGGGAGAAGTATGGTCTTGAGCCGGATCCAGAGCATTATGCTTGCTACATTGATATCTTAGGCCGAGCGGGTAATATAGAAGAGGTGTGGTGTGTGTATCATAATATGGTTGAGCAGGGTACTAGGCCTACTTCGGGAGTATGGGTAGCATTGTTGAACGCTTGTAGTCTTAATAATGATGTTGAAAGAGGTGAATTGGCTGCAAAGAATCTCTTGCAGTTGGAACCCAATAATGCTAGCTATATTGTGCTTGTGTCAAACTTTTATGCAGCCATTGGCAGGTGGGATTGTGTTGATGAACTGAGAAGCATCATGAGGACAAAAGGGTTGGTCAAGGAAGCTGGGAATAGTTGGATCAATGTTCCGTGCTTCAATCAACATGCCAACTCACTATCTGCTTGATTGTTCAGCTAGACAACTAACAACCGAGGGCTTTACTGCTATTAGGGTGATTTCTGGTATGCTTGCTAAGATGAAAGCATCCAATAGCTACATTATCCTGGCATTGTCACATACAAAGGCAGTGCATATCGGCCCCTCATTCTTGTAGATCATTGGTTAGTATTGAGTGTTGAAACAAGTCAACCAGTAAGTATCTCTTTTCCTATTCCTCCAATACATCTCATCTAACCGTTCCTTTGACTGGTAAGAAGTTGTTCATATGATTTGATTCATGATCAATTCATCATCAGTAGCATTTACTGAATTAATACAGTTGTGATTGTGTCTGACTTACAGAGAGGAATACCCTAGTATAGCATGACAAATATAACATATTAACAGTCAATAGTCCTTTTTTTTTAAAAAAAAAATTACAAAGTTGTTTGCCCAAAATTAACAATGGTCATTGCCTTTCTGTGTTTACTCCATTACTTATATATTTCAGTTATGTAATTATTGTTGTTTGCTCATTATTTATGCCTTTGTTAGCATGTGGTGGTATTCACAATTACTAATTTACGAATAACATGTGGCCTTGAACTGTGCAGGGGCTATGCTGGGAATTTACCAAGGCAATAGGCTATCTACCGGTTAGAATTGGAGAATATTAGATCTAATGTCCTTATTGGTCTTGGAATAGGATCCGAATCAAAGTGGAAACTTAACTACACTGATATCTCTTAATCAACTTTTGGAATGGAGCTTGTAAGGTCTCTCCATCTAAAGCATTGACACCATGTATCTGTGACACCTTGATTTGTGTTTGTATATGATATATTGTTCGTAGGTATTATAGTTATTGGGCAGACAGTTAGCCAATCTCATATACTTCTCTAAGAGTTGATCTCTCCTTGATGAATTGTTTGTCTTAGGTATTGCAAAAGTGGCATCCAAGTTCAAAGTATAATGGTAATTTCACTGCTACAATATTAAATGAAGAGCAATGCACTACACAATTGAAACAGGAGCCTCCTCAACTCCTTCTCTATTATAAACCTAAAACCTCCAATCCAAGTGGACCTGTTGAAGTCAAGAATTGGCTGGAAAAATGTTTGACTTTTGACAAGTAATTGATTGAATTATTGCGTTTTCCATTTTGGTTACTGCTCAAAAGAGGGGTCAATCTAAAATGATATATTCTCTTCTGACTTCTGCTCTTTTGTAGTTTTTGTTTTGAAAATCTCTGTGATCCAGTGACCAGTGACCATAGGGTGTCCATGCAACACACAGGTCTATGTCTGGGACGTGATTAGATCACAAGGGGAAAAAGGTTGCAAGAAATAACATTATATCACAACTAAATTGTTCTTAGTTTGGTTAGAGAGCAGGCTCTAACTTCAGAGCTACCACTTTCAATTTCAACAATAACAAGTTGTTCTTCATGCTTTGGTGGTTGGACATGGATTAAAAAATGATGGGAATAATGTGATGTGAATTGTGAATGCTTTTTTATATATTCCATATTTCCAATTATCTTCGGCCAAGGCTGATTCGTTTCGATAAGGCTGGATTGGATTCGACTATTACCTACCCAAATCAGAATGGAATGTTGTTTACTTGTGTTTTTATTATATTAGATTAGATTCTCTCCTTATTCCCTTTCAAATTCTATTCTCCTTCTCAGGTCTTGGGATAATAACTAAATAAATTTATAATAATACATAAATAAATAAATTAAACAATTTTTCCTTTTTTGCTTTGGTAATTTCCCGTGCATTATTACAGTTTAACGAAGAAAAAAGTGCATTTTTGGGTCCCTAAGCTTGCAGGGAATCAATTGAGTCTTCTAACTACATACTTGGATAAAAATGTCTTTAAGCCAATATATTATTTAATAATTATTTTTAAATAATTAAAAAATAAAAATTAATATAATGGGTATATTAATTGATCTCTGGTAAGTAATTTCAAAACACTAACCGATAGGATTTTGCCTTTTAATATATTTCTTTTATCATGTTTTTATTTATAAGCTTGTTTTCTTTAATAGCTGAATTAATTTTTGCGAGTTAGATTGAAAAAAAAAAGAGTTTATGATTTTAATGAAATTCATATGAAACTTACTTAATAATGTTTTTTTTTAGATATGCATAAATATTGTTTTACTTTAGGCTTATTTTAGATATAACAACACAAGAAATATCTAAAATGAGTAATATCTAAAATTTGCATGGCATGATAAAATTTGTGTAGCCATGATACAACAAATTATCATAGCTTAACTACAAGACAAGGAGCATTGGAAAATTTTCAAAACATAATTAACCGAAATAACAACACACAAGAAATTTGTTTCTAAGAATTTTTCCTTGATTTAATGCTATATTGGAATTCATGCTTTGACCATTTGAGAAGATATTAGCAAATCACATAACTAAGAGAGGAATTGACAATTTGCTTCTAGGATCATATTTGTTATAATTAGGATTTTTTCAATTTAAAGTAGGACTTTAGAGTTCAAATTTATAGACATACAACCAAGTTGGGTTAGTCAAATGCTTAATGTTATATTTAAATACTAATCTTTCTAAATAAGGAAGGAAAAACATTATTATAAATAGTCACAATCTAGTTATTCTTGCCTTCTTAGAATAATAAAGGTCATATTGAGGGTAGTTGTAAGTTTTTATAAGCAAATTCCGATGGACTAAAATGGAATCAAAATGATTTATTTTATTTTATTTTTTATGGTTTTGTTTTTTAGTTGTAAAATTATTATTTATTTTTTTTTGAAAAAACCCACGTTTGCCATGTCATTGATAGGAATTCCTTCCCATCACCACAATAGTTGGCTAGTTCCAAAATCAATGATATACATATATATATATATATTTATTGTTCAAGAGAAAAGAGAGAAGAGTGCTTTGTGTGATTTTAATTGTACCTTTTTTTTTTGGATACATAGTGTGATTTTACTTTAAATTTTGCTATTAAAATTTAAAAAAGTTTAATAGATGAAGTAAAAAAAAAGAATTTAATTGATATCTACTATTAATGTGAATATTTTAGTATTATTTTAACTATATAGGTCCAAATAAAAATACATATAAAAAATAAAAAAGCATAACACTGATAAGTGATATTTGTACAATAAATTGTTCAACAAACCCTACTACTTGACATGGTGAATATTTTAGACAGATTTTAAGTGAAGATGGATCATTAATAAAGTTGGTAAGCTTTTATACTAAGAAAAGAACCTGATAATAACAAAAATTAAGTTATGTAATAATTTGTACAATTAAAAGAATAAAAGAGATAAATTTGAAATATAATAAATAATATAAATGGAGATATAAGAAAAAAAGAATGTACTAATTCTTATGGATGTATTATGTTATAGCTCATAAGTCATAATGTATGTTCTAGTCTTTTCCATTTTCTAAATGAAAATTTCATTACAAGTCCTCCGAGTTTCATATATTAGAGCAGCGTCCAGAGGTTGAAGAAGATGAAAATCGAAAACGACTATCACTAGCGCCATAGCAAGACGCACACAGCTCTGTAATCGGATCCGCGCCCAATCGAAGAGCACAAATGGCGTTGAACTCGCGAGCTTAGAGATCTGAACATTACCATCGCCATCGCCACCGTTCATGCTTTTCTGATTGCGGTTATTGTCACCCTCACCAATGGACAAGTCAAGCGCGCTGGAGTACATCAACCAGATGTTCCCCAACGGTACGCCACGAATCTCATTTTCAGTAACGAGCACAAGCGCTTTTAATCGATTGTTTAGCTTCTCAAACTTCCGCATCATGCAGAGGCGTCTCTATCCGGCGTGGAGCCGCTGATGCAGAAAATCCAGAACGAGATTCGGACCGTCGATGCTGGAATTCTTGCCGCGGTTCGCCAACAGGTGTTAAAATCTCTTCAATTGACATCGCGTGATTTGGATTTGTTCCGTGGTTTTCGCTCTCTCATGGCTCCGATTCTCTGATTTCAGAGCAATTCAGGAACTAAGGCGAAGGAGGATCTCGCTGCTGCCACACGTGCCGTCGAGGTATGTACGCGTGCGAAGTAGTTTCCTGCTCCGACCGTTGTGTTGCGTTTTGTCAGTGTCTTCTGGTTTTGTAAATGCAGGAACTAATGTATAAGATCCGAGAGATTAAAACTAAAGCTGTCCAGAGTGAAACAATGGTTCAAGAAATATGCCGTGACATTAAGAAACTGGACTTTGCAAAGAAGCATATAACCACCACAATTACTGCACTTCATAGGCTTACAATGCTTGGTAAATCTTGCTTTTCCACCTTTTATATTTAGTAAAACAAGAAAACGTTTATTTATTTATTTATGGTTTTTAAGCTTGCTCGGCTTAACACTCAAGAAATTGTACTTTATACAAGTGTGGCTTGTTAGATGTGTTAAACAGCTTGAGCTAGTGTAGTTCTTTGGTGAAACAAGTAGATATTGGGTAATTCTATTTATTTATGATGTTGACCTATTGTGGAATACAGCCGTCTAATTGCAAATGTGCATAATCTGTAAATTACAAAAAACAAAAAATGCTGACTTCTGAGAGCGTTTATGTGATTAGAGTGAGCTCTGGCATGGTTAAATTTATAATCCTGCTAGACATAGTTTTGAATCATATAGCCCAATTTGCTTATACATCATTTTACATTGTTTTGCCTTAAAAATGTGGACATAGTACAATCTCTCCCATTATCAATTGCAACAAACAACTAACATGTGATGGTTGCAACTGTACTTCTATTTCTGTCCATGTAACAGTAGCACTGAATGTTTAAAAATTAACTGTAGGAAAACTGTCCCAATTATAATGACCCCTAACCCACAAGTGTATTAGAAAGGGTTACTTACAGCAAGCTTGACCAAAAAAGCTGAGTGAAGTGTCTTAGTGTGGAGTCACTAGGACATTGACTCTTTGTGGGTTTAGATCTCACACGAATTAGAAATATGGTCAATGTAGTCCTTATAAGGCTTGAGCAATTCTTGCCTTACAAGCAAGTTTTGTGGGGTCAAGTTAGGCTCTAAGCCCAAATTTTAAGAAAAACCATTGGAGTATTTTTCTGATGCAAAACATTTAAACCAAGTTGATACAAATTTAGCTTACAAATGCAAATGGTGCATCTATTCTATAGGTTGGTTGCATACTCTATAGATTTTTAGATGCATAGACATTTATTGATATTTTACTTCAACATGCTTACCTATTATATGGCAGTCTCTGCTGTTGAACAGCTTCAAGTCATGGCTTCAAAACGTCAATATAAAGAGGCAGCTGCGCAGCTGGAGGTATCCAATTTATCTTTACAGTATTTTTGTATTACTATTGTTTACTGCATTGGTGTAGAGTGTGTGCCTGCGTCATTTTGGTAAAAAGAAAATCTATCGTCACTGCAGTGTCTGCATTTGTGTGATTAGCTGGTGATATTTATGATATTGTGTTAATTTGTGATGTATTTGTATTGGAGCTTGAATTGGGGTTTGATTATTAGTTCTTTAGAAGTCTAGGGGTATGCAATTTTGTTATTCCAATCATAGCTTATCAGTTAGAGTTACCATTGTTATTAAAAATTTATTTTCCTTTTTCAATTTTAGTTACTTGATTCTTTCGTTTGAGTGGTTTGTCCTAGTAGTTTGAGGCTTTCTGTTTCCTTTGCATAGCATGTAATCTGACTTTAGGTTTTAACTTTTAAGCTTCATTGATTTTGAACAATGATATTTTGATTGTTTTTGGATATCTTGTCCGAGTAATGCTTTTTGTTTAGTTAACTAATCTATAAACTCAACTCCTTGAGTTTGTTTTATCTATGGATTTACTGATACTGACATCTTGTAATTCAGGCAGTGAACCAGTTATGTAGTCACTTTGAGGCCTACAGGGATATTCCAAAGATCATAGAACTGAGGGAGAAGTTTAAGAATATCAAGCAAATACTCAAGTCACATGTGTTCTCTGATTTTTCTAGGTATATTGTTCTGACTGATTTCAAATTTTCAATCTTCTGTTCTGTTTTGAAATTTCTATGGGCAAATGTGAATTGAATATACAATGTTCATTTAGATTGCTTGTCTATATTTTTTTTCTTATATTTTTTTTTGTATGGCATGTTATTAACCTCCCTAGATATAGAAAGCTGTTTGATTCCAAAGAGGGCTATGTGTAACTGGCTTCCTCAATTTTCTCTTTTTGTCTCAGCTTAGGCACCGGAAAGGAGACAGAAGAAGCTAATTTATTACAGCAGTTGTCTGATGCCTGCCTGGTGGTTGATGCATTAGAGCCTTCTGTAAGGGAAGAATTGGTAAATAATTTCTGCAATAGGGAGCTTACTTCGTATGAGCAAATTTTTGAAGGAGCTGGTATGTTTGATTTATCTGCTACATTAATTTTGTGTTAGTTACTTTGTCTATATTTGGTTTTTAATTTTTTTTTGTACACCTTTTAGAACTTGCAAAGTTGGATAAAACTGAACGAAGATATGCATGGATTAAGCGCCGAATGAGATCAAATGAAGAAATTTGGAAAATATTTCCACCTTCATGGCATGTTTCGTATCGGCTTTGTATCCTATTTTGCAAGAAGACAAGGTATGGTGTTTATTTGTTTATATGCACACTGTTAAA